AGATGTGGTCGAAAAGGGATTGCATGACGAAGCCGCAAAGATACTACGATCGAAGCGAGACCCTCTTCGACGCTTGAAACGCTTAGTGGTCGTTCTGCACAAGTACGAGGTGCCAAACTACGCATATCTGACCAACGAGACATCGGATGTTATTCAGGCTGTTCAGTATTGTAAGCGTATATCCAAAAGCCAATTACCATTGTACACGGCTCACAGCTCCAGACAATGCCAGAATTCGAGCGCAGTACAAGGCCTACGGGGAGCTGGTACCAAATCCCGCCATCGTTGTCTTCCCCCCTCAGGTGCTGCATCTCCTCACGCCAGCGATTCATCACACGCTAGTATGCATATCCCTCAATCACTTTGTCCATACGCAGCCATCTGGCGCCGATCGCGCAATCACAAGTATGAACCGATCAAAGATATATCATCACCGAGGCGCTGCCTTGCGATCACTGAGCGAGTACATTGCACAGGACAAGACTAGGTGTTCGGACCTGACCATCACCAGCATCCTGATGTTCATGTGTCTGGAGGTATGTTGGTTAACATGGTTTGCGTAAATGGTGGGGGACATGGGCTAACGCTTGGATATAGCTCCAAAACCCTAGCTTCACGGACTGGCGTTCACATGTCAACGGCATGAAGCGGCTGATTGACCTGCGGGGCGGACCTAAGCAGCTCATGAAAGATGCCCCTCATCTAGTGCCATCACTAGTGATATACCTACTGTAGGTACCTTTGGCTCCGTGCACAAGCTCTACTGGCTAACGCAAGCGTCTAGCATCATTTCGCTCGCCAACACATGCAGCCCATCGTGGGACCAAGTCGACATTACAGGCGCAAACGGGACGATCATCGAGGACTTGAGTAGCGTCTACGATCTCATCTTCCCATATACGCTATGTCCCCGGGAGCTCTACATAGAGATACTCCAGATTGGCCAGTTGCGTAGCAAGGCATCTGCGGCCATGTTGTTATACGATGCTGATCCAGCGCATTCTCTGGAGGCGCACGACCTGATTGCTCGTATTGATGCATTCTCTCCCGAGGACTGGGCGCAAGCCGGACCCCTCTACTCGGAATGGCTGCTGATGGGACAGATTTACCAAGCTGCTGTATCACTCTACTGCAGCATGTCTCTGCAATCGCTAACCGTGCTGCCGCCGAGCGTGTCGCTGCAGAAAGCGCAAGAAGAGAAGGGAAATGTGCTTCTGAGCAGTGTGCGCATTGCGCTCCAGGATCCCAGGATGGCCAGACACATGGTTTGGCCTTTGGTGGTGGCAGGGGTCGAGGGCATCCATCGCAGCCAGGCGACAAAAGACTGGATTGAGGCGAGTCTGGGAGATCTTAGCAGGCTGCTAGGGACGAGCTGTCCGTTGAAGGCGTCCGCAGTGTTGAAGAGGTACTGGAAGAGCGGGGTAGCGGGATGGGATAGCTGCTTCGACCGGGCATACGCATTTATCATCTAGAGGCCCAACCGTCACGTCCATGTTCCACGAAATTTGTGTGTATATGTATGTGGAGGGGTGTATTGGCCGCAATGTAAAGAATTACTATACAAAGAGGAGCTGCAATGGCAAACTCTCTTCATAACGCCGAACCATGCTGTTTTGCTCTCGTTCCTTCGTGAGTGGTGTCGAGCGTCGAACGAGGCATGCGATCAATTTTTTTTTCATCCGAGTGTACCACCTTGCACAAGTCCCAACTACCGCTCCAGCCCTTTGTTATCTGGATCCTCATCGCCCTTTGTCTCCTTGACGTCCTTGTAGGGCCGCCCGGCATAGAGCATGTATCCCTTCTCTTCGATGGTGCCCGCCTTCTCGTCGGCCTCGGCACGGCCCTGGCCAAAGGCGCCCGTCTCCAATTGGCCTTGGACAGCGATAGGCCTGTTGCCGCGAAACCGCTTGCGCATATCAATCATGCCCTTTTTGCACTCTGCATAGCCCTTTTGGAGCTGCTGGCACTGGGTGGGGAGGGTGTATTTGAGGGGCGGGCGCAGACAGTCGCCGGGCGAGTGCCGCTCAACCATTATGCAGTCGCTGTTCTGGAGGCAAAAAGCCAGGGCGGCGCCTGCGATTGGATACGTTAGCCGCCCGAAGTTTCACCATGGCGAGGAGAAGGAGGCCATACGGATGTCTTTACATGACTGCGGCATCGTGGTTATCAGCAGATGCGGCGGCGACAGCGAACGACGTGGAGTGATGGCAGTGGAGCACACGGCAGCGGTGGCATCCAGGCCATGTGTGTTCGACGCGGCGCGAGGCAGCCGGGCCCGGTACCGACGGCCGTTAGCCAGGCTTGGGCAAGATGGGCTGTCACATGCCAAACATGGCCGCAGAGCAATACCATGGCGGTGCAGTAGTGTCGGTCAACGTCATTTTTTTCCCCATCGCACACGGCTGGACTCCCATGGCTGGGCCACCGTCTTTCCCAGACAGGCTCAAGCTTCGACGTTTCTCAGGCCCCGGCGCGCGCAGAGAGGGGCTATGCGTTGGCGTTGCAGTCGACTGAGCATTTGCCCGTTGCCATAACAGTCTCATCTTTCGCGTCCCGCCCGCCCCCCAAGCATCTCGCTGCCACCGCCATCGCCATGGCGCTGCATATTCCCTTTCTCTCGCGCCTGCACATCCGCGAGTACATTGCCTTGCTCCTGTCCATCTCCCTCATCATCCTCGAGTCCTTCATTGCCGTCATCACCCTCGCCCTGCCGACGCCCATTATCAACTTTTGCTACCGCCTTACTCGCCGCCTCTTCAACTACTGCTCCTCGCCCTCGTCCAAGCGCTCGCGTGACAAGAAAAAAGCCGTCTGGAGCTCCATTGCCAATGCCTCCGACTTTTCCGAGCTTTGCCAGCTCTACGGATACGAATGCGAAGAGCACATTGTCCAGACGGGCGACGGCTATCTGCTAGGCCTGCACCGCCTGGGTTGGAAAAGGGGCGAGGAAAATGTGCGAGTCAACCCCCGCGACCGCGCAAAGGGCCAGAAGAAGAAGGTTGTCTACCTGCACCATGGCCTCATGATGAATAGCGAGGTGTGGGTGTGCCTAACGGCCAAGGAACGATGCCTGCCCTTTGAGCTGGTAGAGCGTGGTTACGACGTCTGGCTCGGCAACAATCGCGGCAACAAGTACTCCAAGAAGAGTGTGCATACGCCCCCGACATCGAGCAGCTTCTGGAATTTCAGCATGGACCAATTCGCCTTTCACGATATTCCCGACTCGATTTCATACATTCTCGAGACGACCCACCAGCCGTCTTTGTCGTACATTGGCTTCTCCCAGGGAACCGCTCAGGCTTTTGCGACGCTATCCATACACCCGACGCTCAACGAAAAGGTCGATGTCTTCATTGCGCTGGCGCCAGCCATGTCGCCCAAGGGCGTTGCATCTGGAATCGTCGACGCCTTTGTAAAAGCCTCCCCGAACATTCTCTACCTTGCGTTTGGCCGCAAATCCATTCTTCCCTCGACCACCATGTGGCAGTCTATTCTATATCCGCCCATCTTTGTCCGTGTGATTGACAAGTCCCTGAGGTTTCTCTTCGGATGGACCGCTAATAATATTTTGCCTGAGCAAAAGCTCGCAGCGTATCCTCATCTCTACTCCTACAGTTCTACCAAGAGTGTTGTCCACTGGTTCCAAATCATCCGCAATGGCACGTTCCAGATGTACGACGATGATGATTCGAACCCAATCATCTCTAACCGGTCCAAGTACTACAAGGTTGCCAAGTTTCCCACTAAGAATATCAAAACGCCCATTGTGCTGGTCTACGGTGGGTCGGATAGTCTAGTTGATATCAACATCATGTTGAAGGAGCTCCCTTCTCACACAATCGCCAAGGAGATCCCCCACTACGAGCATCTAGACTTTTTGTGGGCAGAATCTGTCAACACTCTGGTCTTCCCACATGTTTTTGAGTACCTGGAAAAATTCGCAGTCACGGAAAGCGAGACTCCCAATGGCATTAAAGAGAAGAGGCGGTCACCAGTCACATACAGAAGTCTCCTACCAGGAATCGATACTCTGCCCGAGCAAGAAGGATACGACGATGTAGGAGACGAAAGGAAGGTAGCTTCACCCACCCTCCGACCCAGGCGAAGCTCTCCCCCAACCCGACGAGCAATCTCCTACCATGGCCCATCCTCAGCTGACAGTCCCTCGGTGATTACCAGCCCCGTTATAGCGTCGAGAATGTCCTATCCAGCTGCCTACAAGCTGAACACGGAGGAGCTCTTCCCGTCAATCCGCAGCAGAATCATGTCGCCACCTCCGACAAACCGAGTCTCACTCACTTTTGATTCCCCCGAAAATTCGCAGACCACCGCCCAAACCTCAACATCCCGACCCGAAGGCTGGTGGTCCTCCGACGAAGTCGCCGGCACCGACCCCTCTCAATCTACCACCCCTGCAAGTCCCACTCCGGCCAGGCGACTCAGCATCGGCAGCCAGCAAAGCACAAAAAGCATGGCGGGCAAGTTCGGCGCCAAAGGCATCACTGTTGGTGCCAGCAAGGCCGTCAGCGCTGTATCACCGGGTGAGGGTATCGGCGAGGGTCACAACGCTGCCGCCGCCACCACCACCGACAACAACAAGAAGCAGCGACGCAACACACTCAAGAAGAAACAACCACCCCCCTCTCAGCCTTCTAGCTGACGTTCGCGGAAACGGCCTGCTCAAAAGAGAAGGCTGTTTTTGAAAAAATTGATACGGAAATGTCGCATGAAGTAAAGAGTTGAGAGGGGGGAGGGAGGAGGGGGAAACGATTGAGGGAACAAACCACATAACCGCATTTTTATCTTTTTTTTCTTGGTTCTCTCTCGTTTCCTCCCCTTCTTCCTTTCTTTCTTTTGGATATTTTACGGTTTTCACTCACACTTTTTTCTTTATTATAGACTGAAAGGGGATTTTTTTTTGCCCCCCCCCAACCTCCCAGCGTTTTTTTTATATATTTACATATCTCTCTTTTTTGATGAGTCAGGAAGAATTTTTTTTTTATCATTTGCCAATATTGCCTGCTCTAGCTTCGTCTTCGTTTGCATCTCTATGACTACGCTCAGATTGTTACATGCGAACGTTGAATCCGGGCTAGACTGCTGAACTACTTCCTGTTCGTTAGCGTCGTTGTAGTCGGGTATACAACATCCCAGTCGTTATATCTTCGGATTGTGGATTAGCCGGGTGATTGTGATATGAATGTGCTGATAACGACTCGAGTCCGATCCCTTTTTTTTGTCAAACCTGGAAGTACACACTCCCGCGTCTTTCGAATACAATTTACCTGACTAGCTTTCAACAACGTGCCTGACTAGTTCGATAGTCTTTGCTTCGGCGTAATTCGCATCCTATTTCGATACTTGGGTAAGGCCGGTAGGATGC